AAAATGGAATTTGGGGCAACTTATGGAACTTTCTGGATAAATAAGAATTTATTGAACATCATCATTCACATATTCTTAGTGATTCCCTGAAGACTTCCCACTCCTCACAACCTCTTTGAAAGAGGTAGTAAGCTTGTGAGACATGATTTCTATTTTTCTAAGAACTTCGATAGAAGACTTCACAGAAATAAATTAATGTTCTAACTTAATGTTTTCAAATTGCAAGAACTTTTGTATTTTTCTGGCTAAAATCTACAGAACTTTGGTAGTTATGATAAATTTGATTAATGAAGCTTACTAGTTTTTTCTTCCATATTTCCTTTTCCAGTGAATTTCAATAATGTCCTACCAAATACATTTATTTGTTTCTACATATGTCTTAATGCATGGAAACTTAATTTTGAGTCTGGTTTATTTATTATGTTTAGTACCAACTCAGAACATGTAAATTGTTGCTCAGTGAGAGTAGACACATTTGTTGCTCATTAATTCATTCAACAAAAATGTTTTGTGTACCTGCAGTATGCCAGGAATTTACTAGACACCAAAGGCATGTCAAGATAATTACAAAGCCTAGAAGCCAGCAAACATAAATTTAAATCACTTAAATTTTTCTTCCTCTGGTCAAATCCTTCCATGTTTACCCAGAGGAGGCATAGACGATATGTCTCCAAACTAGTTTTTCAAGCTCTAGTGTTCATTATGCACAGTCCAGAGACAGCATAAGGAAACAAAATATTTTTAAAGGGCAAGCTTCCCCTCCCTGAATGATCAGGCCAGATCCCACTGGCTAAACTTGCCAGCACAAGAGCATGGTTCAGTAACTTGAAAATTCAGAATAAAAACACACCTGAAAAGGTCTCTGAGTAGAAGGAGCTGGGAGCATGAGAGGGGAACAAAGAAGTAGAATCCCTAGAAGATCTTGAGTTTCAAGAAAGAAAGAATTTAATTCCTTTCTTTTAGCTTTTCTTTTGTGCCTGCTGCCCTTTTCCTTTTTAGCTTCAGCTGCCAACACAGGTCTTTCTGGAGCTGCTCCCCTTGTCTTCCTTCTTCCTCCTGGAACGCACGCACGTGGCCAGAGCTGAGGGAGTTGGATTTCTCCTTAAAGAAGCAGCTGCTTAAAAGGGGATTCTTTCTTCTTTCCATACCTCATTTTCTCCAGTTGAATGCATTATCTTTTGTAATGTATGATGTTTTACCCAAACATCATATCAGATCAAAGAAATGGTATTTTTTTCCAGCAGCCTCTGCTCTTGAGTACAGTTAATACTTATGCACAGTGATGCTTTGAGGTTGTTGGGGTCTTTTTTTTTTCCCATGCATTTCCAAGCATCTGCATTTACATTTCAGGTATTCTCCCTATTAATTTGTAAACTTCCAGCTATGCCTGTGATAGCATCTGAAAGACCACAACTAAATTAGACTAGAACAGTTCTTCTATCTAATTTGATATGATTTTGCTACATAGTTCTGCCTCCTGATTTTAAACTGTTTCCCATTTACCAGACCTTCACACAATGGAGAATAAATATAAATCTTACAGGGTGTCTTGCAAAGGGGGTATTTAATAAACATTTGTGGAGTCCTAAATCTGAGACTTTATTACCCAGACACAAGGGAGCAGCCATCTTCTACCTCTAAATAGGATAGAAGGAAAGGAACCTGGTTTGAATGATGGGGGAAGATTTATGTTAGATATAAGGAACAGGTTAAACCTTGTAAGTCTTGACAGAAGAAGACTGTGGAGTTATCCTTGAAGGTCTTTGAAGAAGAAGGAAGGCACTAATCTTGACAGATACCTTTGGCTACTCCATTCAGGAGAGAGAAGGAAAAGCAAGTATCGAAATTCAGCTCAGTGAGTAAGCTCAGTAACTACGCCTCTCGAAATGGAATCTAAGCCCATGCTTGGACAGGAAAATCATTGTTCCTTTAAACATAACAGTTGCTGTTTATTCAGTGCAGAACACTTGTATCCATTTCTTCCTTCAAGGTAAATATTATTACTCCCATTTCATAGATGAGGAAACCGAGACATAATGGGTTAAATTACTTGCCCAAAGTCACAATTGGTAGGTGGTGGAGCAGAGACTGAAACCAGATCCCCTTTGAACTTAAAGACCATGCCCCTAATCATTACATGGTATGAAATCCTTTAGGGAGGGATCAGATGTGAGTGTGGATGCCAGTGGACAACTTGGATCTGTGGAAAATACTTGTCATTGAAAGTTGCAGCTTCCAAAATGGGAAAACCAACCTATGGCACTAACCTGAATTCACTACCTTACTTCACTTGGGTCACAGATTTCTATGCAGTGGATTTTCCCCAAATTGGTGATTACCTCTGAAAATTTGTGACTCTGAAAAACCTAAATAATTGACCTTAGGGTATGGAGGAAAGCCCAGTGCAATTTATTACTAAACCAATACTTACTGAATGGCATTTAAGCCTATAATTTTCCTTATGCCAATGTACAAACATCATATTCTGAATATTCTGCTATAGTGTTTTCTAGTATTTTATGTTTCTTTGAAGGGGAGATTAAAACAGCATCTAGTTTATGGCTTTTATTTATTTTTTAATATATTTTGTGGATTATGCCATTACACTTGTCTCATTTTTCCCCTTTATTCCTCTCCACCCTGCACCCCCTCCCACCAACATTACTCCTTAGTTCACGTCCATGGGTTATGCATATAAGTTCTTTGGCTTCTACATTTCCATACTATTCTTAACCTCCCCCTGTCTATTTTGGACCTACCATTTATGCTTCTTATTCCCTGTACTTTCCCCCCCATTCTCCCTCTCCTCCTCCCCATGGATAACCCTCCATGTGATCTTCATTTCTGTGATTCTCTTCCTGTTCTAGTTGTTTGCTTAGTTTGTTTTGGTTTTGTATTAGGTTCAGTTGTTGATAGTTGTGAGTTTGTCATTTTACTGTTCATAGCTTTTATCTTCTTTTTCTTTGATAAGTCCCTTTAACATTTCATAGAATAAGGGCTTGGTGGTGATGAACTCCTTTAACTTGACCTTATCTGGGAAGCACTTTATCTGCCCTTCCATTCTAAATGATAGCTTTGCTGGATAGAGCAAACTTGAATGTAGGTCCTTGCCTTTCATGGCTTCAAATATCTCATTCTAGCCCCTTCTTGCTTGCAAGGTTTCTTTTGAGAAATCAGCTGACAGTCTTATGGGAACTCCTTTGTAGGTAACTGTCTCCTTTTCTCTTGCTGCTTTTAAGATTCTCTCCTTATGTTTCATTTTGGGTAATGTAATTATGATGTGCCTTGGTGTGTGCTTCCTAGGGTCCAACTTCTTTGGGACTCTCTGAGCTTCATGGACTTCCTGGAAGTCTATTTCCTTTGCAAGATTAGGGAAGTTGTCCTTCATTATTTGTTCAAATAAGTTTTTAATTTGTTGCTCTTCCTCTTCTCCTTCTGGCATTCTTATGATTCAGATGTGGGAACATTTAAAGATGTCCTGGAGGTTCATAAGCCTCTCTTCATTTTTTTTCATTCTTGTTTCTTCATTCTGTTGTGGTTGAATGTTTATTTATTCTTTCTGGTCCAAATCATTGATCTGAGTCCTGGTTTCCTTCCCCTAACCGCTGGTTTCCTTCCCCTAACCGCTGGTTTCCTGTAAGTTTTCCTTTATTTCCCTTTGTATACTCTTAACTTTTTTCTCTATTTCGTGACCATACTCAACTATTTCTGTGAGCATCCTGATTACTAGTGTTTTGGACTCTCTATCTAATAGGTTGGCTACCTCTTCATTACTTAGTTGTATTTTTTTCTGGAGCTTTGATCTGTTCTTTCATTTGGGCCATATTTTTTCATCTCAGTGTGACTGTTATGTAGTAAGGGGAAGAGCCTTAGGTATTCATTGGGGTCGGGCAACCCATGATGCTGCGTTGTGGCACTGTATGTGGGGGAGGGGTCCAAGAGGGAACAATGCTGCTTGCTTGGCTCTCAGCAGGCTTTTAGTCACTTCCCCTGCTACCCACAAGCAAATTGGGTCCTGGTGCTGATTCCTGGGTGGGTGGGTTTCTGTATGTTCTAGGACCCTGTGGGTCTCTCCAATGAACTCCCCTGTAAGGCTGGAAGTTTCTCTTGATGCTACAACCCCCATAGGTTTTTACAGTCAGAGGTTTTGAGGCTTTATTTCCCACACTGGAGCCCTGGATTGCATGGTCTGTCTCATTCCCCAGTTGTTCCTCCTGGTTTATCTGCATGGAAATGTGGGACCACCTGGTCTGCCAGCTGCAGCCTTGTCTGGTCCAGCAGCCTCTGCCTCACCCACCCTGGTCATCCAGATTCCACCTTGCCACAGGTCCTCTCCACCCTGGCTGCCTGTCTCTGCCCCTCCTGTGGGTCTGGATGAATGTTTCTTCTTTAACTCGTTGGTTGTTGGACTTCCATACAGTTCAATTTTCTGATAGTTCTGGATATTTTTTGTTTTTAAATTTGTTGTTGTCCTTTTGGTTGTGTGAGTAGGCAAAGTGTATCTACCTAGGCCTCCATCTTGGTCAGAAGTCCTAGTTTATGCCTTTTAGAAGATTGCTGAATTTATTGGATGAATCAATGTGGTAACTTTGGGTTATATTACTTTTGGAAACTTTTAGGAATTTAAATCAGGATTCTGGAATTAAATCAGAATCAGAGAAATTTGACTGAAGTCTCTATATTAACTGTTATTTATTCTTGATCTTTCTGTGTTTTGTTATTTATATTTCTATATTGGCTTTTCATCTACTTCTTAAAGGACAAATTAAAATAATATAATTAAGCATTGGAGAGGTTTAATTGCATAAGGGTTAATGAATGAACTGGAATAAAAAATTAAACAACTAATAAAAATCTTGGGTGGTTTGATTAATTAAATCAAATAAACCACCACCCAAATGACTGAAAAAAATAATCACCAAGTAAGTACTTTAAAAATACTTTATGCTAAGAAGAGAATAAGGTAATAATCATCATCTTGCTTTTGAAAATATTAACAGTGGCCCTGGAAGGGATTTGGAGCATTAAAAGGAATCTCCCTGTGGGAAGCTCGAAGCCAGCACTGCCCAGCAGAAACATTTTACTGCCACAAGCCAAGTTCTACTCAAGGCATGGAGGGATGAGAAGTAAGACCCCAACACCCCAACTTCCACCAAAGCCCTGAGGGTGCTGAATAGTCTACACACCGGTGGTTATGCTTTATTCAAAGTTCTCAATCAAAATTCAATCTTCCCTTGCCTCGCTTTTCTCAGGTTACTTTTAGTTTAGCCATATTGCCTCATTGTGGAATTTAAGCAGTTAACAGTTCAGCTAACCAATTTTTTACCCCATGTAAGCAATAGAAGTTCATATCTGACTCTTTCCTTTACTTATGTATATGCATATAAGACTTTCTAGCACACAGCCAGCCTCAGTGGGGAGGAATCTTGCATGGTCCTTTCTTCTGGATGAATGATCTTTGTTACCAGTGGAAATGGGGAATGGGAAATGAGGGAAGTAAGGAAGAATAAGGCAACTGCTTTGTTTGGCTCTCTTGGTTTCATCCCATTTTATGTAAGAGGCCATCAGGCTGGGCACAGTGTACTCTTCCACATAGACACAGAGTTTGGAACATAATATTACTCATCCCTCACTGTCACAGCCAGTGTCTGCCAGGAACATTTGTGGCAGGATGTGGAGAAGGCAGGGGGCTTGACATGGAAGCGCAGCAGTGTTCAGATAGTCTAAGGATATGAAATTGGGTATCCTAAAAATAGCTCTACAATTGGGGTGTAACTCCAGGGTAAGAAGAGAAAAGTGGGTAAGTGCCAGGCTTGGAGTTACACAAGGTATGACTCATAATAACAAATGTTATGTAGCACTTATTTTTCTAGATTCTTCACATATATTAATTTATTTAATCTTTACAACAATCACATTAAACAGTTATAATTCATTTCACAAATGAGAAAACTGAGGCACAGAAAGGCTGAGTAATTTATCCAGAGTCACTCAACTAATAAGTGGAAATACTGAGATTTGAACCCAGGCAGCCAGTCTCCAATGGCTTCTAACCATGAGGAACTACTGTCTCTGAGACAAACAGTGCCCAAGTTATGGGTGTCTGTTCAACCTGGAGGACAGTGAGACCTCAGCAAAAGTGTCACAAAGGAGGAAGATTCCTGGGGAGATAGCCTCTGGAATATGAATTCAGTAGGGAGAAAATATAGACACTGAGAGACTGAGACACAAGGTAATACAAATAAACAGAAACACTTGTTACTAAGGGGGATTCATGTAGCAGTATGGAGACCTGGGTTTACTAATAAGTAGTAGTAGCCACCATTTACCATGTGCCAGGCATGGCTGTAAGTGTCTTGTATAATTCTGTGACCCACACAATCATATGAGATGAGATGTTCAATCTCCATTTTCCAGGCAAGAAAACTGAGGCATAGAAATGTTACGTTATCCAAGATCTCATGTCTAGGAGGTAATGAGGTCAGAACTACAAAGCTGTGTCCATCAAACCCCCGAGACTATACTCTTCACCACAGGGCCATCATGGCAAAGAATCTAGTCACTAAGAAACAAGGGTGGAACCAGACATGGTGGTTAAACAGGCACAAATCCCAGGGTTATGGGATTGCAGGGTTAGGAACTTAGAAGGCAACTGCACTCAGAATCCACAAAGATATCAATGTCTTGAAGTAATGGTTGATTCAACCCACATCTGGGACACTTGCCCATTGAGAGTTATTTATTTCAGCTTTCCACCCAATTTGTCAGGTCCTACTTACAGTGGGTAAATCCATCGTTCCATGAACACTCATAAAGCAATTCATTTTGAAAGTGAATCATTTTCTTCATGCTATGTTATAAGACTGGTTTGGAGAACAAATTACCTTCATTTGAAGACAAGAAGTCCAATAGATTACGCAGTTCCTTAGCTGGGGACATATGATTTAAAAATGTGTGTTTTATCTTGGCCATAATTGTATTACTTCCATTCATAGGATTCAGGAGAGACTTGTTCATGATTCCTGCTCATTGTTACTCACACACACGGCCTCTCTGGCAGCCCCCAGCCCTCTGTCTCCAGCCCATGTCAAGCCCTTGTAGTGATCATGTTACCCTGTGCAACTGTTGTTGTTATATATCTTAGCTCCTTCAGTGGCCAGCTAAGTGGCCAGCTGCATTTTGCTTTATGAACTGCTACTATCTGTCATACCAATCACAAATGATCAGTCTATATGAGTCATACTGATAACTGAAAATTAGACCTTTCTCATTATCAGTGAAAAAAGGTAGATAGATGCAAGGCACAGAGATACCACGGATGAACAAAATCCACAGATAGTTTTCAAAAATCGATTGGTAGTAATTCATACACTGTCAGAAGCACCATGAAATCAGGAACTGTATCTCTTCACTCACCACCCTGTATCTAGAACTTAGCCCTGGGCCCGACAGAGTAAATGCTCTATCACTTTTGTCATGAGAATGACCAATAAATGATGAACCAGCATGTGCATGATGAATGCGAACTACGTGTTTAGAATATTCTTGCTGCTAACTCACGTATGTCTCTCCCTCCACAAAAGTCTATGGTTTTCTGCCACTTGATACTGCTAAGTTAAACAGAATACAGATAATAGAAGGAAAAGCAAGGGAATATATTGATTTTAGTGTGTGAATCATGAAAAGTTTCACATATCTTTTATATACTTTGGAACTGACACTTCAGAGAGAGGTATTTCCATGGGTTACAATATTTCCAGAAGCTTCTCCTGTAAAGTGTACTTCATTTAGATAGTTCAGTCAGTCCTTATTCATCATCTTTTTTTTATTCGCTTGTACTTCTTTCCACTCGCTTGTGAACAACACGATCCTTGCAACTGTGACTTTTCCAACATTTAATGCACCTCATTTAAAATTTAGAGTTATGGTCATCCAATTGTAGTTCTAAAACACATTTCTGTTAGAGACTGCAAACAGAAGTTTCACTTTCATCATCCTAACAAGTTTTGTTTTTACTTTTATGCATTTCCTTCTTATCCTGTGGCTTGTAAAAACAACAAAAAGCTGTCTAGTCCAGTGCTTCTCAATGTGTAGGCACATTAAAGCTAAGAGATCACATGTGTCTCTCATTAAAATTCAGATTCTGATACAGTAGGTCTGGCGTGGGGTCTGAGATTCTCCACTTCTGAGGAGGCCCTGGGTGAAGCCAGTGCTGCTGGAGGGACACTGCGCTCTGAGTGATGAGGGTCTAGAAGGCGGAGGGGTGGTTTCTCAGTTCCCCGAATCACGTGGCTGTGGCTTTTACATTCTGCTCTACCAAATGAAGGAAGTAATGATTTAGTGTTGGGGACACTAAATCAAGTTTAAATTAAAATGGGGTTGGGATTAAAGAGCATTTTCCCCGAGTAAAACTTACTTAATTCACATATTTCTTTCCTTTAGGGTAAGAAGAATAAATTTTTCCTTTGAGAAGAAACCTCTTTCTCCTAATGTCTGAAAAACAGAGAAGAAATCCAAGCTTGTTTCACAGTTTAAGAGGTGTAAAAAAATGTACATTAATCTATAATTTCTATTATTGATATTAATTCCTACCTATCAATTAATCCAAAGTAATGATGGACTATTAGTAAAGTTTGCTAAGCACCTGAAAACAGTGAAGAAAAATATACTTATTTTTAGTCATCACAGTCGGAATATATTGAGCTTGTAATTCAGATCATTTTATTAAATATATAAAACATAATAAAACAAAGGTGCCTTATTGTCTTTACTCCAGGTAAACACTATAAACTTTAACCTTTCACTAGGATACCATTATGTTCATTCATTAAAAACAAAATGAAGCAAATGTCCATCGGGTGCAGGTGCAGGCGAGGAAATGAACGACAGGGACGGAAAGGCCCTGACTTGGAGACAACCATTTTCACACTGGCCTTGCTAGAGCTCCTCCTTTTTCTAGAATTTGTCCACTAAATACTAAGCAGCCCGGAATTTTATGGAGAGATGTAAAAGAAAGGGAAAAAAATTGTACTAATACTACTGGATTTAAAAAAAAATTAAAAGGAGGGGAAAGATCCAATCTTCTTCCTTTCCCCTTGCCCAGTTGTCAAAAGTAATATCTACGTAGTAAAGAAAAAGTGGAAAATAAAGGAAAAAAATCTGTAATTCACTTCCCAGAAACAACCATTGATCACGTTTATATATTTTCATTCTTTTTTCTTATTCATTTTTTAGTTTACATATTTGAGATCACATGTACAGTATCTATATTTATTGTCCTTTTAACATACATCATATAACTTCCCACTCATTAAAATTTAACTTTAAATAATTACATTAAAAGTCTTTATATGTTTCTACTAATTTTTTACATTTACTAATTTATTTTTGGACATTTTGATTTTTCATTTTATATATATTGTTGTGATTTACTTACCACAACCACCCCCTAAAAAGTTTTTCCTAGTATTCCGGTTATAAAACACTGTTCATTCTACTTCTTCTGTAGGCTAAGATCATCTTAAAACTTCCTCCAGTTTACAGTTCTGAAGTTTACTTCTCAGTTTCTTTTTTTATATAAAGATTCTTTTTTTTAAGATTTTATTTATTTATTTCTAGAGAGAGGGGAAGGGAGGAAGGAAGAGAGGGAGAGAAATATCAATGTGTGGTTGCCTCTCAGGTCCCCACTGGGGACCTGGCCCACAACCCAGGCAGGTGCCCTGACTAGGAATCAAACCAGCAACCCTTGGGAGTGCAGCCCACGCTCAGTGCACTGAGCCATACCAGCTAGGGTTACTTCTCAGTTTCAATGTAATAAATCCAATCAGATAAACAAAGATTTGTTGGTTGGTTATGTCCTTTCCCTACTTAAAAATATTTACACTGTAAAACAGCCAATAATATTTTGAGTCAAAGTCCAAACCTCTCCAGATTTTAGAAAAATTTTCCATTTAGTCAATACACACTAGAAGAGATCCTACCTGTAAGCCAATTCCAGCCACTACTGTGTTTATGGAACTCTCTCATCATTGGCTATTGCAATAACAGTGCTTTGGGCCAGTGGCTAAAATTGGAGAGATTACATCTTAAATTAGTCAAGGGCTGTAACACCAAAATCTACCTGGAGTTGCGGTAAAGCATTTACTTGTTGATCCAAGATATTAACCTTCTAAAAATGCTTACGATCCTTTTTTTTTTTTTTTGCATGTATGTTAGGATGACAGAAAAAGCACAGGGGGTGGGAAGTATTATTCATCCATTGGAAATGATATCCTGTTTGCACTTGAGCTCCCAGTGTGACTTTACAAACATGCTCAGGGATTTCCTTCCTCACTTGACTTTACTCCTGCTCAATAAATAAGATGTCACCACTCCACCCGCACCCCACTCCCTTTCATTCTCAGGCTTGCTGCCTGGGCTGGGTGCTCCCCTGAGAACTGATTCATGCACTGTTTCCTCACTAGGTATCTGTCCTTATTCCACGCTGGGGCTCTGGGGCCCTGGTTCCTTTTGTGCTTAAATTCTGTTCTTCATCGCCCCATTGCATAGCCTCCTAACTGGAATCACGTACACAGCTTTTTATGCCAGGACTGCTTATAATAATGAATAACTAAAACTAAAACCAAATGTAGAGAATGATTTTTAAAATTACTATATCATATCATGCATCTTTTTTGTTTTTAATTTAATAAGCACTTTTAAAATGAAACTCTTTGAAAACCAGGATTACAAGGACACTTCTTGAAAATGATAAAAATCTATAGCAATCTTAAATTAATAGCCATCTGCATACTTCATGATATAGAATAAGAACATTCCTTCTAAGTTCAGGAATAAAGCAAAAATGCTCTTTTTTTCTCCTAATGATGTTTGCAACTTGCTCACTTTCATTCTTTATTTTATATGCTCCTGGCCCCAGTAGCCCTTGAATTTCCTCAGCTTGTGCCAGAACAGCACACTGGATAACTCAGTGTCACAGGGCTGGCACCCCAATTCTTAATTTGGCCAAATACTCCTGGCAAAGTATCTGTGAGCTACACATATGAAAAGATTAGAAATAGAACGTAACGAGCTGAAATGATTGGGAAGACTATTTAGCTGCGCAAAATGGGCCACAAGTTTTCCGCAAAGACAACTTTTTAGTCTTAAAGAAATCCTTCCCTTGGTTTATCTCATAAACATGTCCTTTGTCTTCCAACTAAAATGTTTATAGAGATAGAAATCATATAATGAGAAGGTTTTTATTTTATTTTTTATCTTTAAAAGATTTCATTTATTTCTTTTTTAGAAAGAGGGAAACAAGGAAGGAAGGGAGGAAGGGAGAGGGAGAGAAACATCAGTTGGTTGCCTCTCGTATGCCACAAACCAGGGACCCAGCCCACAAAGCAGGCATGTGCCCTGACCAGGAATTCAACCGGCGATGTTTTCATTTGTGGGATGACACCCAACCCACTGAACCACACCAGTCATGGAAATGAGGACATTTTTAAAAATAAAATACTATCACATTACACATACTACATAGTCTGCATTTTTTTACTTAGTCATACATTGTGACCATTTTCCTGTATAAAATATTTTTGTCAAAATCATGATTTTATAGGCTATATATATAGTATATCAATATGACAGTACCAAAATTTTCTTAACTTTGTCCCTACTGATGGGTATTCATTTTACATTCATTTGGCATTTTAAGAAATATTTCCATCTCCTTCTGCCCACAAAACAAATAGGAAACCCCTTAGTCAGATTTTCTCATAACCCAGTCGGTTTTCTCCTTAATCCTGATAGAAATCTGCAGGCTTATACTCCAGAAGGAATAAACCAGAAGAACTTTGAATGAAAATAGGGCAATCAAGTCGGGAGTCAACATCGTCCATTTCAAGAGCACCAATCCCCTGAGTTCCCAGAATGTTTCAATGTTTCCCCCAGATTCACATTCCTGTTTACACACACACACACACACACACACACACACACACACACACGAGACAGGAGATTAGAGGTACGTGGTTGGACTTGGACATTGTGCTAAGTGAAATAAGCCAGTCACAGGAAGACAAATACTGCATGGTTCCACCTACATGATGTATCTAACATAGTCAAACTGGTAGAAGCAAAGAATACGATGGTGGTTGCCATGGGCTGAAGTAAAGGAGAATGAGGGGATTGCTAATCATTGGGTATAAAATTTTAAAAAGTAAGTAATAGGCTAAAATGCTGACTAAAACTGTGTGTGTGAGCAAAGCTTGTTGACTGGTGGTTTCCCTTTTACAGGGCATGGTTCAAGACATGGCTATTTATAGAGAATTCCAGCCGCCGGTTACTACAGATATATGTGTGTGTTATAATGAAATCATGATGAAGTCATGTTTTTGATGTGTATTTAAAGTCATGGGACAAAGCTTATATTAAAGGAGGAAAGTTGAATACATATAGTATTACAATATGATCTTCATTTATATATACTATGTGTTCATCAAATACTAAAATATAAAAAGTGGTTATCTTGAGGTGGAGATGAAAGAGAAGCATCATTTTCTTCTTATATTTTTCTGTATTAAAAATTTCATATAATAAATATGAGACAAATACAATAAGCACTATGGAAAAAATCTTCCCCAATTACCCCAAGGTACTTTTATATATCTTATTTCTTACCATATCTCAGTTCTCAGTAAGTTTTGGTCTTAATTTTTTTTTACCTTTCAGCTGTCTTTTGCATGGTGAATAGCAATGAAATCTGTTAAATAACAAACTCTTATTTTTTTCTGGTGCCTATACAATAGATGACACCACTTAAAATGGCAGCAAATTTTGCACCCCTGCCCCAACTTTTTGTCTAAAACTGCCTCCTGTAAGTCATTGTAATTGCAACCAAAAGAATTCTTACTAACACAAATGCCTTTAGTTTTATCTGACTTAATTATAGTGCTTGCTTGGAGCCCGTGTGCAGGCTCACTGGTTCTGGTTTATAATTGCACATCTCTATAACTAAAAGAGAGAGAATGGAAACTACGGGGTGAAGAGACTCATCTCTATCCCTCCCCCCAGCGGAAACTTGCTTTCCTTTACCTTCAAAAACTTCATTGAAAATCTGGCAAACTTTGCTTAAACTAATTGTAAATGGAGATGAAAAAGGTTCCAACATAAAGGCCTGAAAGAACTTTCTACACTGATAGTGACACTGGATCAATACAGAAGTGACAAAGGACAAAATGATAAGGTAATCAAGGAAATGGTGCTTCAAGAGACAAGTGTGCAGTCTGAACACATCACAGCTTCTCACGTCAACCTTCGGATTCTTTTGATCTGGACTTGCTCTAAAGTTATAATTTACGTGGGTGAGTTGAGTATAGTAGCCAGCTGTCCCACAAGGGCAGAAATGTTGGTTTGTCTGTTTGTTCAGCTGTACCTCATGTGCCTGGCACATGACTGGCATCAATAAATGTTATTGCATGAAGTTATACTTGTGCAGATTTATAAGTTCAAGCAAGGTCTGACTCTAATGTCATTATAGGACAATTCTCAGTCCGGTATTTCTTGGTAAATGCTTTAGAAACAGCTCTACCAGCTGGTAAGGACAAGAGAGTCATGTCATAATACATCAAATTAAAGACAAAACTGAAGTAGTTTATTTTTCAAAGGAACACAGCAAATCCTGGGGTCATCATATCAAAATCTAACAACAATCCTCATCGCTTCTTTCTTAAACTGGGAACTGAGAAATGTGCCCAGGGGAGCTTCAAGGGAGCCCGAAGAGCCAGAAGAGCTGTTCAGTGGTGGAAGGGATGCACGGTGGGCTCTGGCCACAGGGGTCAGGCAGTACCTCCCACTATCCTTCGCATCTAATATCTCTGACTTGAAGAGTTGCTGCCATTTCCCCACTCTCTTGAGTGACCCAGGAAATTAAGTCTTTGAACAGTGACACACTCAAGAAAGAAGTTCCCTTTTCTCACAGAGCCCAGTGGTGCTGCCAGGACAGAAGGAGCTTCTGCAATGCAGCTAGACTAGACAGTATTTATTCACCGTCTTTCTCTTCCTCCCTAGGCTGAATGTTTGGTGGACTGCACCAAACATTACTGAGGGTAAATACAGACCAAAGGCTCATTGTGGAGTGGATGAAAGTAATCCTACTATAACCAACATTTTCAATGTGATTTCACTTTCATGCATCATGTAAGATTTCTGGGCTGGGGTATATTTGGCTACAATAAGCTTAATCTGGACCTGTAAAATTTGGCTGTCCTCCTCCTTCAGGAATGTTTTTCTTTTTTTTCCCTTGCCATATGAGCAACAAGAGTAAACAATCTGCTCTTCTGTTTCCACACTTTCCCAAAATCATTTATAGGTCACTAATTTTGTTTACTCTAATCCAACAAGTATTTCTTAATATTTCCAGTACCTCAGACCCTTAGAGGAGGAATCACAGGAACGAGTATGATAGAATCCAGTCTGACCACTGTTGTGGTCTGATTAGCTGCTTGGGGGAATTTACTAATGAAGGTAGAATTACCAGACTTCTGGGGAAAATTCATCTTCCTTCCATGTTCTTTTGTGAATTGTGCCCTGGGTCTGTGTGCAAAGTAGGTCAGGACAGGGGGAGGGGCAGCCAAGTCAAGATCCCTTTCTCCATCCACAGACAGTTGGGCTGCCTCCTTGAGTTAGAGTCTGGCTGCCCTGAGTGTGGCCACACGTAGGTACTGATACAGGGCAGGTGCCATAGCAAGCCCAGATCAGATAAGCCAGAGTTCCCGAAATTCCACAGGATTTGTGCTAACTCACTTGACTGGGGACCCAAGTAAAGTAGACTTGGGCGGAGGGTAAGAAGTTAGTACTGGTGAACCTGAGAAGGATTTGGGAAGGCCAGCATGATACCTACCATTTTTATCCTACACTTGGGAGCTATTTTTTTTCAGTCAAAGTCATCATTTTATAGTCCCAAGTCTTTTGCATAATCTTCATGAGCAGAAATTGAGTTGTTTTATCAGTGCTTCATGAAATGTATTTTCATGAAATTAATAAGCTGTATTCATTCACTCATTCACTCATTTGTGTATTTGTTTATTTCATAAGTATTTATTAAACATCTCATATGTACCAGGCATTGTACTGTGTGATATTAACATGTTCATTTCACCATCAAAATAATTTTCTTTTGTGTGAGTCTTATATTCCATAATTGTTACACGTGACTGAAAATAATCTGTATTTTTTAAAAAAGTAGATTAACAAGAGGAATACAGAGGTAAATCCTCTATATATCTAAAATATCATACAAATATTTATGACTCTAGTCAAAATCTCACTATGTACATTTTTCTGAACATCCAAAATTTTTGCATTAACTATTCAGCCCAGTAAATGTGCAGGAAAAACTTGAATGTGCACAAGAGTAAAACCCTAAAATAAACATAGCAAATTCTCATATTGACTATTCATAACAATGTCTTTCATGGGCAGTAAGTTTTTGCTCTTGGAAAAAAAGAAAAGACCTCATAAGTTAGTGTTAGGTTTATTTTTCTATCAAAGATTTAATAGGGCAATAACAAAAAATTGTGGATTGTTGTTGAACTTACACCAGTCTTATTAATTTTTAATGATTAGGTTCATATGCATCTGCCAAAGGAAACAATCTCCACCTATTTTTGTACAGATTAAACTTTCTAACCACACCTGTTTACTGGCTGCTCCCCATTTCCTGGTTAAGTACATACTACTGGGAGGATTCTGAATAGCTTTTTTCTTTCTTGAAGAAAGAAAAAATTGAAAGTATCCTTAGCAGGTCAATATTAAGTCAGAGACATCGCAGATCCAATCAAAAACAGCAGCCACTTGAGGACAGCCTCATGGTGCCTAGGCCAGCAGAGCCTGGAGCTGGGGAGCAGAGCCAAGGCCCTGGGGCTGCATTCTGGTGCTTCCCTGGGAAATGCCAGCTGTCTGTGGTGAGCACAAGGACAAGCTTAAAATGAACTATTTTCTTGGAGAAGAACAAAGAACGAGTTAGACTTCTAGGAACCACAGTCGGCCTGGTTCTTGCCCCCAGAGAATTGTGCCCTATGTTACATTTTGGAACTGAACGGGTCTTTCTTGGACACATCGATAAGCCTCGCTTTATGAAACTCTCTTCTATGCTGCTTTATCAAGCCTTGGGCTCCAAAAGCCCTCCTTTATACCTGACCTTGTTGTCTTCATGTTTGCAACTGAAAGCCAACTCTTTCTGTGTCATATTGAAACCAGAAGGCAGCCGAGTCTGGGCTCCTGCTGCCTGTCACCATTTAGCCAAAAAGCAGAGACAAGGATTGGATTATAATTGTTCTTCTATTAATATCAGAGGCCAGCACTCCAAGAAGGTGGCAGGTAAAAACCTTCACATCCACCTTATCTTGAGCTTTCAGAAGCAAGTTTATATTGGGGAAATGTGGGAATTTGGGGAGGGGGGCGAGTTTCTAATGGGACACAGATGTACTGTCTCTTTTGGGAACAGGAGCTGAAAGGGGAGTCGTGCTGCTTCTCCCTAAGCTGGATCCCTTTGTGCTGGTGTTCTCTCTCTGTTTACATTAGCATCCCTCTCTTCCCGAACACCTGTGCTGTGGTTTATGGCCAGGGGGGTCAGGTACTCTTCCATTGGGGAGGAAAGGTATAAACCATTTTCTTTTAAGTGTCCTTGGTTAGGGGAGATAAGGTTTTGGCGATTCACCAGCTAGAGTAAGTTGCTTAAATTGTTTGGCCTTGTTTAATTTTCTCGTCTCAGTTGCCACATTCTGCTTGCCCAGGAATTTTTCTAGCTTCTTACCATTCTGTCTTAACATTTTGTGGAAGTTGAAGAGGCCTTTAAATACACAAGGAATCATATGTTTATGTTACTAATTTAAAAATAATCATAAAATGTTTATAAAGTTCTAAGGAATTTATAGTTCCTCTAGAATAATAATAATAATAATAATAATAGTAATTCTTTACATTTGGCAATGTTGTTTTTGCCTGCTGACCTTTTTCCTTTGGGGACCTGCCCTCCCATTATTGTTGGTCCTTGAGGTTTAGATGTGGGGCTGATTCTACCCCAAAGTTCCGAAAGAGGGTCTAAACTCTTTTGAATTCCCTCAACCACAAATGTGTACTTGGCTCAACCTGGACCAGTGAGAGCCAGCCTGATTTGATCAAGTTTGTAATGCCTGTCACCGGGGTTCTGATTAATACAAATGTAGCATTTTACACTGAAAGCTAAAGGGGCTTCTTAAGGTCCCAGTAGGTCATTCACATAGCCAATTCCTCCTGATACCTATCCACATTCTAAGTGGGGAACACAGATACTGACAGGTCATTTCAGTAATACATTAACACCGTTCACTCGCTGGCTGGGTTAGAGCGTCGTCCCATACACCAAATGTTGAGGGCACATGCCTGGTCAGGGCACATGCCTAGGATGTGGGTTCAATGCCAAGTCGGGGCACTTACAGGAGGCAACCAATTGTTTTTCTCTCACATAGCTGTTTCTCTCTCTAAAATCAATAAACATATCCTCCAGTGAGGACTTTTTTAAAGCATTCATTAATTAAAAAAGTATTCATTGAGATGATGAATACTACTAGATGCCTAGATCTGTTTACATGATGCAGTTATAAATGAAATAGAAAGATGTACATATGGAACCACACAGGAGGGGCATGTAGCCTGCCCTGGATATGTGCATATGGGTGTCCAGGAAGGCTTCCTAGAGGAAGGGACTGGCTTCCTGGTATCTGTGACTCTATTTTCCTTTACTTATTCTCACAGCCACTGTCTTAGTTAAGGCCCTTTTGATTTCATATCTGAATTACAGCAATAGCTTTCCAACTGGACTTATTTCTACTCTTATCTTGGTCCTTAACACCCAATGGATCTTTTATTAATGATAGAACAATTTTTATTTAAAACATTTTACTGAATTGAGTGCGGGCTGGGAACCAAAGTGTCCCAGGTTCGATTCCCAGCCAGGGTACATGCCTGGGTTGCAGGCCACAACCCCCAGCAACCGCACATTGATGTTTCTCTCTCTTTCTCTCTATCTCCCTCCCTTCCCTCTCTAAAAATAAATAAATAAAATCTTTAAAAAAAAACAAAAAAAAACACATTTTACTGAAGTGACGTATGTGCGTACGTATGCAGCTTGATGAGTTTCCCCAGACAACACACTCATTAACCAAGGCCTGTGTCAACACACATGGCCAGCATACCTGAAGCCCGCCTCACCTCCCCTTCTGCGTATTCCCCTCCCCTCACAAATAAGCTTTTTAAAATTCTAACTTCTATCTTGCTCCCTTGGTTTATTAAAACCTTTAAAGGACTCTCCACAGCCTTCAGGATAAAACTGCATCTCCATAGCCGAACTAAACCCCAGTAATCCCTAACGTACCATCCCAGTCCTCTGCTTGGCCTTCACATGCGCTGCCCCTTTTGCTAAGACTACACATCTCAGCGCTCTCCCTCCCCCATGCCAACAGTTTTTAATTATTCCAGGAGCCACTTCCTCAAAGACTTCCATGATCTCTTCCCTCTTTCCTATCTGTTTCTCTTACAGATTATTGAAGGTAGAAATAGTGTTTTTCATTCCATTTCCCAGTTGGCTAAAGGAATAAATGAGAACACCTGGCATTATTCCTTTCCCTTAATGCCTTTCCTCCCCAATCTCTTATTCTTTTTAAGTAAAACCTAACCAATTGCCCTGTGAATAAATCAACGCCTATGACCTTTAATCACTACAGTCCTATGCTGCTTAACAATGGAGAAGTGTTCCAAGTAATGTGTTGATTTTGTCCTTGTGTGAGCATCGTGAAAGTGTACTTACACAAACCTAGCTTCTATAGCCTATTGTCCTAGGCTACAAGCCTGTATAGCATGTTACTGTACAAAACAACACAAGATTAAATCAGAGGGAAACAATGCAGTCACACAGGGTGAAGAGATGGGTGAGACTATTGCCAGCATAACACAGCATACTATTTTACAACAAACATTTTTTTAATAAACAGAAATAGTACCCTCTAAAATAATGATAAAAAGTAGTGTAGAGCATTCCCTCAGCCATAGCAGCCGCCAGGAAGAAATTCCCTCAACCATGCCCCCAGCACCATGTCACAACTGGGGTTGGCTATGACCATGATTGGGGAGGTTTTTGCCAGGTACGGGGGTACAGACAGCAACAAGCAGAGCCTGAGCAAGGGGGAGTTAAAGGTGCTCTTGGAGAAGGAGCTCCTGGGCTTCCTGCAGAGTGTACAGGACAAGGATGCTATGGACAAACTGCTCAAGGACCTAGATGCCAATGGAGACTCCACGGTGGACTCCAATGAGTTTACAGTGTGTGTGGCTGCAACCACGTCTGCCTGTCACTTGTGACTCAATGGATGGCCTGCAGACCCAGATTCCTGAAGGGGGCACAGGCACCAGGCCCCTGGCTTCTCGAAAGCTCTTGGCAGCAATTATTTCTCTGAACTGAGCAAGCTGATGGACGTCTGATTAATAAAATGCTTGTGAAATGGAAAAAATGTATCATACGGGAAATACCAACACTAGTAACATAGTCGTTTATTATCATTACATACTGTACATAGTTGTATTGCCACACATTCTTACAACTGGCTGTGCAGTATGTTTGTTTACACCAGGGTCACCACAAATGTAATGCATTGTGTTATGACCTTATGACAGCTACGATGTCACTAACAGGAATTTTTCAGATGTTATAATCTTATGGGACCACGCCATATATGCAAGCTATCATTGACAGAACTGTCCTTCTGTGGTGTGTGACTATAGTTTGTAGAGAAATCACGACTGGGTTCCATTGATCCAGCCATACCTGCCCACCAGGCACACCCTCCCCTACACCTCACACTAGGTAACACTAAAATAGGGTAGTTTGTGGTCTTGTACCCATCCAAGGTAAGTGGACACAAAGGCAATTGATATTCATGAGATCTGAGCCATTCTGCCAGTAAAAAGTTGGCTTAGTTGGAATATCTGGAGGACTTAAGGGAAAACTGGGTGTAGGGGAGGAAGCAAACAAGCAGGTTAACATTTATCAAATACCTACCTATCATGCACTGGATGCAATGTTAGGCTCTATTTATGAGGTACTACTTAACTAAAGTGGAAGAGAAATGTGCACAAATGTAGATTTTTGAACTGCATAAAAAGAAAGGCTAATATTCCTTTCCTTCATTTGGTTGAAAAAAGTTATTTGTACATTTACAGGTTTTTGTTTTCATTAAAAATAACAGTAGAGAATCACTGAAATTCCTGATTTCAATGACATATTGCTTAACTAGCTTGAAAATGATTCTATGAAATTTAAAGAAATAGAAGCATTTTAAAAGGTGTTGGCATGTAGGAGAGTGACACCGGGCTGATAGGTAAGCCAGAGCACCTCATGCTGTCCACCCAGCTCCCAAACCGTGACTGCAGGCCAGCAGGCAGTGCCACCAGAAACCATTTTTAAAGAAGCATTTACAATCTGGACTTGATTTTTAATGAAAAAGTTCACAAAAAATCCAAATGGCAAACCCAAGTGTATTTTCTGTATGTGTAACATCAAACACCTCCGACAGGTTGGCCCCATTCCCAGAAAGTCTATTGCTCCCCTAACATCCTGTAACTGACATGGCACTGGGGGAGGGGGGGCACCACTAATACACAGCTGTGGTCTACTAAATGTTTTCTCAAAACTGCTTCCCCAGGTCAGCAGCCCATCCACAGCCTATTTAGAATTTCACTGAATAAACTTTTAATAACATAAGCAAAAGTCAAAATTCAGTAATCCAAATTCAAGCCATAGGGGAAAGAATTCGTCAAGTGACTCTAGATGTAGATGTCTCCATTGTTTTCTCATTGATAAACCTGGAGAGGCCAGTGCGATATTTATCCCTTATATCCTAAACTTTCGTGCTACAATATTTCTTTTGGTCATCAGTTTATAGTCCAGAGTATTTTGCATAATCTTAAATGCCGAAATTGTTTCTTAAGTGCTTAGTAAAATTACTGGTGATGTTCATTCATTCACCTCACTGAATAGGCAGGAAGCTCTCTGAGTCCAAAGACTGCTGTGAGCTGAGGCCGTCAGAAGTGTGTGTGGGAACAAAGGAAAAAACATGTTTCCGTTGCTCAGAAAACGTTTTATTCTCTGCTGGGACAGTAAGCAAAGGGGATGTTCTGATGGCAGTAGGTTTTAACTATTCACCTTAAAACTTGGTTTCACAAAATGCAAAACCTCTGTGGTGCACGGAGGGGAGATGATTGCACAACTGTCCTGTCTAGATAGGTCACAATTTCTGGGTCTCAAGGTCTAGGTCACCGACGACTCTCGGGACCACTCTCTCCTGCAGGCGTCGCTGGCCATTGCAGGGCCGTGAGGGAGGAAGTGGACTCTGATCTTCCGTTCGACCAGGAAGCTGGGCACTGCCAGCTCACTTTTCCTCCGTGGCTGCGTGGGCTCTGGCGCCGCAGCGGCTTTCGGAGGGTGTCGCGTGCCCTGCTCCTATTCACTCGAAGGCGCGCGCCCCGGCCACAGCGATTAAGCCCCAGAACTTATCTGGGAAGGAGCTCCGGGCAGGCCCGGACACTAGGCTAGAGCGGTGGGCTTGCCCAGAAAGGCCTGGGATCCCCTGAGAAGGGATACGGAGTAACCGGTGATGAGCCTAAGGGGCGCAGCCGGCAGTCCGGGAGCAAAGGAGGGGGAGGGGAGTGAGCGGCGCGGCAGGAAACGCCCGGGTCTCGGCCAGCCCAGTCCGGCTGGGGGAGCTATGGAGGGGAAGGGCAGAGCGGCGCCCGGCTGGGGTGCCGGGCTTGCTCACCTGGCGCTGGCGGCGCGCCCTTCGGGGAGCTGCGGGGAGGGGAGCAGAATCCGAGGGCCTTGGGATTCCGGGACCGCCCTCTCCGGATCCAGGGGTGGCTGCGAGCGGCAACGACGGCTAGAACCGCAGTGGCAGTATGAGAGCGGCCGCCGCTGCTCCACGCTTGCGGACGTTCGGCCAGGGGTGGCCGCTCTGCCTGCGCACGCCATGGGGGCGCCGTGGGGCCCGGTGGCCTGCCGGCGGCGCGGAGCGCGGGGTCTGCCACGGTCCGCTTCAGCGCTGGCGGCCGCTGGCCTGGTGTGCACAGTCCTGGTCGCCTACGCCTGCTGGGGGCAGCTCCCGCCGCTGCCCTGGACCTCCGACGCCCAGCCGAGGCCAGTGGGCGTGTTGCTGTGGTGGGAGCCCTTCACTGGGCGCGACAGGGCCACAAGGCCGCCCCCCGACTGCTGGATGCGCTTCAACATCAGCGGCTGCCGCCTGCTTACCGACCGTACCACCTACGGGGAAGCTCAGGCTGTGCTTTTCCACCACCGAGACCTCGTGAAGGGACCCCTGGACTGGCCCCCACCCTGGGGTGTCCGGGTGCGCTCCGCAGAGGAGCTGGAGCTGCGGGTGTTGGACGAGGAGACCGCCGAAGCCCTGACCGCGTCCGGCCCCAGACCCCCGGGCCAGCGCTGGGTGTGGATGAACTTTGAGTCTCCCTCCCACTCCCCAGGGCTACGAAGCTTGGCAGGTAACCTCTTCAACTGGACGCTCTCCTACCGGGCTGACTCAGACGTCTTTGTGCCTTATGGCTACCTCTATCCCAGGACCCATCCCAGCGACCAGCCACAAGGCCTGGTCCCCCCACTGGCTCGGAAACGGGGGCTGGTGGCCTGGGTGGTGAGCAACTGGGATGAGCGCCAGGCCCGGGTCCGCTACTACCACCAGCTGAGGCAGCACGTGTCCGTGGACGTGTTTGGCAAGGGCGGGACCCGGAGGCCGGTGCCTGACATCGGGCTTTTACACACGGTGGCCCGCTACAAGTTTTACCTGGCCTTCGAGAACTCCCAGCATCAGGATTATATCACCGAGAAGCTCTGGCGCAACGCGTTGCTAGCTGGGACCGTACCAGTGGTGCTGGGCCCCAACCGTGCCAATTATGAGCGCTTTGTGCCCCGAGGTGCCTTCATCCACGTAGACGACTTCCCTAATGCCTCCTCCCTGGCTGCCTACCTGCTCTTCCTCGACCGAAATCCAGCTGTCTACCGTCGTTACTTCAGTTGGCGCCGGAGCTATGCCGTGCACATCACCTCCTTCTGGGACGAGCCTTGGTGCCGGGCCTGCCAGGCTGTGCAGAGGGCCAGGGACCAGCCCCAGAGCATACGCAACTTGGCTCGCTGGTTTGAGCGGTGAAGCAATATACCCCTGGGTGTAACCCAGGGAGGTCAAGGCATCAGCTTTTAGATCCTCTGCCGTGCATCGCGTTGAATGACAAATCACGGGACTAAGGTTTCACTAGTGGAAAAAAAGGTGATTTGCCAGTGTAATTCAGCACAGAGACTGGGCGGGTAAGACCCAGTTCTGTTCTTAATGTTGTTTGGGCAAGTAGCAGTTGGGCCCCCTCTTCAGGAGTGAAGGGGCCCTTCCTCGCCTTGTAACTAACCAGTGTAGAGATGAAGAAATTACTTGACTACAAGAAACCATTGAGTCAGTTGCTCTGAATTTCCTCATCTGCCACAAGTCATATCTGTGGCCTGTGCTGAGTACAATGTCATACACACTGTCCCTCCTTTCACATTTCACTGGGCCCTTATGCGGCAAACCCCTGGTTTTAGAAAGAGCCTTGCTGTGAATGTGACTGTGGCCTCAAGGGGTTCTTTCTCCTTGTTGGTGGAACTCCTCAAAACCTCAGCTCCTGACAAAGGTGAGGGGGTCATCCAAGAATTCGTTGACTGTAATGTTTGTTCCCCTGTCCCATGAATGGAAACACGATGCTGGATTGTCCTGGAGAAGAGTTAAGGTGAATATATGTGTACCTCTCTACACAAAGCTGCTTTTCAACCACATCTTGACTGAACTGCCCTAGGGGTAGTTCAGTATTTAATAAAACTTTATGGAGAATCCCTGTACAATGTGAATAATCATACCCTAACTAATTTCTTGTCTATTTTTTCTATAACCTGGATTTTTTAAAACGCATATTAAAGTTACAGATGTGAAAATAAATCAGAAGCAAACGTCTCCCCTCTTGCCAGAAACACAGACTCTGTTTACAGATAAAAAAGGAAGCCATAGTGCCACTTTCCACAAAATTACTTATTTTATGTCTACTGGACCTGAAATTTAAACTGGAATATCAATGCTATAGGGATGCTGGCATTACCTGTCTGCAGAACAATGAAAGAGATTGTACTGTATTATGGAATCATCATGGTGTCTGTTAATAGCAGTGCTTGTTTCTATCTGTCAGTTTCTTGTTAAATGTTTAGTTGCTAGGGAATGGAACTAGATTAGTGTCTCTGATGTTCCTTGTCTTTCCTTAAAGGTTAAACCTGCAATTCCCCCTGGGGCCAGCAGGTTTCCCTCCTAGTCTGCATAGTAGAACATGGAGCCTCACATTTCCAATGCCCATGAGACTGTGCGTGGGACCAAGTTTGAAAATACGTGCATTGACTAAAAAAGTTGTTTGGGCAGCATATTCAGTAGGTGTTACTGTGTGCCTACTCTGTGCCAAACAGCTGGACTTGAGGTACCACAGGAAAAACAAAAATATGTAAGGCAATGTCCCTCTCTTTAAGGCTCTTAAAGTATACCACTGCCAACAAGTAATCAGTGAACTTCGGTACATTAACTGACAGAACCTATTTGTTTAAAGGGACATTCTTAGTGATATAGGTCAAAAATGAATTATTAGAAAGCCAGTTGATTCACAGCCTGAAATAATAGTTTATATTTCTCTTTGATTTATTATAATAAAGATTATCTATGACTAATTATTGTGGGTAGGGTCCAAGATTAATTAGGTTTACACAGGGTTCTGCTGTAAATAGTAATTTTGTATTTGACTACTACAATTAGCTGAATCATAGTTTTATTTCTGCATTTCTTGTAGACTCACTAAAAGCTCATTAAAATCCACAAAGTGCTTCAATTCTCTTTAACCTTTAAAGGAAGAATTAAAATCCGTGAATAAAATGTCCTTATTAAAATACTATAGCATGGACAGAATTATAATGATAAAGTATCAGCCAGCCAATAAAGAAACAGGAAAAATTCTGTCCTTAAAATGAGTCTTTATGAGATATTGGCCAATGATTTTGGTTTTATTGAGAATCTACATGGGGCAGTGAGAGAGAGTTTGGGTTTTGAAGGTAATCTGGCTTAGATTTGAATTCCAGCACTGTGACTTTAGGCAAATTAGTAATAACCCTGAGCTTCAGCTCCCTTATCTGTGAAATGGGGGAGGAAAATACTTCAGAGCTCATTGTGAGCATTTAAGGAAACAAAATAGGTAAAGGTAGTCACTGAGTTGATGAGGAAGAGCTTTATGTATTTTTCCTTCTTTCACTATAGTGATTTCAGGGAACGTCCATATCCATTTACATGTTAAAATTAAATTTCAAGGTATGTTATAGAATATATCTGAAATAAAAAGGTCCTCCTATCATGTATCCCAAATGAATCCCTAAAGCTAAGCCTATTATTTCAAAAGTCATCATTGCCATTTAGATTGAACTTGAATTTGCAGACTGTAGACACACCTATGCTTTCTTCAAAAAAATTGTTTTGTCAAATAAATTTTAAGATTATCAGTAATTCTTAAGAAAAAGATTGTGAGAGAAAGAACTAAATCTTGTAAGATGATTTCTATCCTGTTTAAAAGAAATTAAAAAATTAAAAAGCAGTAAATAAGGGTGTTAAATCTGTGATGGTAGGACATGATAATGACATATTGAAAATAAATCTGTGTAGCAATATGAATTGGCTTAGGCATTTGTGCCACATATGACAGCCTACCACGCTTTCATCTCCTCCTTAGTAGTTCTTCAGATTTTCTTATCTCATTGACTATGAAAAGCACAATCATCTCACAAACTGCTTTTGAATTGAGATTTAATGTAATCTGCCCAGGATTTTAGCTTGATTTTAAGAATTGGAAGTGAAATTGAATTCCAAGCAAAAAGAAAAATTGTTTTGTTTTGGTTTTGGTTAAGTTACATAGTTAAATAAGTAACTATTATCTTATTAATGCTGTCCTTAGTATTGTCTGTTTAAAACTAACCACATATTTATTAACTATTTAGCACGAAGAAGGTATACTTGCATTTTTATTTATTTGAAAAGTTTTGGGTGTACAACAGAGTATTTTTTAAGGCTAATCTCATCAAAGAGCAAGAGAAATATGGCAATTCATCTTATGGCATTTTATTTTTCATATTTTAAATTGAGCAGGTTAAATTTTCACAAGCATTGATACAAAATGCATATAAATGCATCATATAGATTTCAAAATGTCTTCTAGGATTGTCATGTCCTTCCTTTAATGTATAAGCTTTTCTTACACTTATTACAAGTTCAATATTTTTAGCACTTGATGACTCTAATTGCATGAGTGCCCCTGGAATGATATTTGCATCAGGAAGACAGTCTGACTCAATTTCAGTATTCACAGGTCCTTCCAGTTTCCAAGCCCTTCCCTGGCAGTAATCTACAGGAGACAGGGTGGCCTCATGGAAAGAGCTTGCAATTTGAAGTCAGAACCTGGGTATGGGGTTCTGCCACTTTCTGCCCCTGTGGCCTTATTAGGCAGGGTCTGATTAAACTCTGAGTTTTAAGCTTCCTCCTTTATAATGCATGAATGTCCGTAAAAAACAAGGATTAAATGTGATGATGTGCGCCAGGGAGCTTTGTGAAGTGCTATACAGTTACAGAATGCTCTACATTTTCAAGGCTCTAGGCCAGAAAGTAAATATTTCAGGTTTTGCCAGAAAGTAAATATTTCAGGTTTTGCAGGCCATACAGTCTCTGCTGCCACTACTCACCTAAGCTGTTGTGGTACAGCATCAGCTGTATACATAATCTGTACTGACAATACATAAACAAATTTGGTGCCTGGATTTGACCCGAGTCATAGTTTGTTAACTCAGTTCTAGACTTTCGAGGTATAAGGAATTTGAGAACTTATAGGACAGGGGTTTCTTAGAAGGAATTTAAAGATTGTAATTTAAAAATTTTAGAGGCAGATATCCCTGGGTGTATCTGCCTAGACCAGCCCTGCAAGATTTCTTAATTGTCTTATATTGGGAAAATTATTTAAGTTTTCGGTGTTTTGATATTCATCACTAATTGCAGGTAATCATATAAAATTTATGGAGGTATTGGGAGAATTAGATAAGACACACTTAAAGTACTCTGTACAGTGTCTGGCATGTAGGAAGCACCTGGAAGGTGATAGCTGTGGTATCACCAGTCCCATTTTACAGAAGGAGGAGCTGAGGTCCACACTCATTGTGGGACTCGCCTAAGGTTATAGCAGTAGTGGCAAAGTCACAACTGCTTTGAGCCTCAGTCACTTGAACTGCAAAATGAGGGGGTTATACAAGGTCTTCTCTTGGGACCTTCAGCTCCACTTGCTATCATTCTACAAACTGGCATTTTAGAGTTTTGAGAACTAATTCACCTTCTACTGTGCCTTCCTTACAGCCTGTAAATGACTTACTGCACAGCAGTAAATTGCCAGAAAAGCAGGCACCAGAGAGGGAGATTCTGATTTAGTGTCACATACTTTAGATATCAGGGAAGGGAAATGAATCCTTGGTAATTAGTGCAGTGAATAATTGCATTGAATACATTTCAAGTCATTCTTGATTATATCTCAGGGGCTTTTATGTGACACATTCTTATAACAAATCAATAACATATATATATATATATGTTCGGGTTATTTTGACAAAATAAAGTAATGAGATGGAAAATGACTCTTTGTTTATCATGTGTATGCCCAGGCATTCATGTGTTTCACCATGGCACATGGGATTTCTTGGTCATACGGTTTTGTAAACTCATTGGTTTCAGGTTTGTAACAGAAATGTGATGGCTTCGCCTCCTCTGAGTTGCACCAGGTCCTCCTCAGCTCATCCTCTTGTCTTTCTTGCTGCTGACTCATCTCCAAGGGCATAAATTATATACTCATTCTATTTCTCATTTACTAAGTGCCCTGATGTCCTCTCTGAACCGTCTCTAGCTCCTTTCCACTAACTGAAAAAAAATGCCATTTTTTAAAGAGGTGGAATAAAGCCTGGGTATGTTATTGTTGGCAGAAGCATCTTTCCTAACAGCTGGTGCTCAAATTATTGAAAGGGGAAGATAAGGAATTGGAAAAAAGCACTGAATATTTTCTCTGCTTTCCGTTCAACACACGCATGCTGACATGCTCATTTCACTACAGATTTTGAAAAATGATGGTGGCCAGCTGAGGGTAGAAGAGAGACGATAAATAAAGAGGATTCAGTAGCAAAGGAGTAAACACAAAAGCAGACTACAAAGTAGAACAGGTGGTGACTATAGATGGGGAGTGAAGAGAAAAATGGAAAAAGGAAATACATTGGGGTAAGTGAGTAAGAAGTGTTTGAAGAGAAAACAAGGTTAGAAGAACGGAGATGGAAGATACAGGTTCAGCGACCATGAAGGAGGTGGGATGAAGGAGGAACATATGCACAGAGAAGGAGGGAGCGGTGTAAAAGCCACCATTCAATGCCACTTTTCCAAAAAGAGACCTTTGTTCCAGCTTGAAACGCAGCAACTGTTGGTAAATGGAGAATGAAATCAAGAAGTCTGAACTCACTGACAGGGAAAGTCAGGGACTTCCCAAGGAATAAACTAATATTTCAGCAGAAATATAAAACTCTCTTGATTCATTACAACAGCTTCTTGAACTCCTATGAATGCTTCTTTTTCACCTTGGAAAAATTACATTCATACATTGATTGCAGTTTTTTAAAAATTTCCAGTCGGCATACTTCAACTATACTAAATATCCACTATTAGAGAAATGTGTTTGTTTTAGATAGCCATAATCACCAGTTGACTCTTTGAAGAATAGTTAAAGGACTCAGTACATTTAATGCACTTAATAGTTTCATGTGGAACCCTATTATAAAACTATTTCCAGTTAAGTGGTAAAGGGTTGGATTTTTGAGATCTTTGAATTAATGTTTTTTAGAAATAATCGAGTCTTACCTAAATATACTAAAATGTCATGCTCTATTTGAACAGGAGTGCTAAAAATTTAATCTGAATTATTTTTAAAAGGGGGAGAAAGGGACTATTCAACAACAAACACAAACACTGCTTCACTGCCTTCTGTGGCCAGGACCAGGAATGCCCAGAACTTGGGGGTATAGGTAACACTCAAGCAAGGACTCTGCACTCAAAAAATGTATGTTCTAGTGGAAGATACGGACCTGCTGACAGATAATCCTAACATATTAGTGTTGCTGTAATAAAGTTATATATCATAGATGTATTAGATCATGTGCAGAATCACAGAATTTAAGAGGAAAACAAAGCAAGCTGTCAGTAGAGCATCTGAGGAATCAGAGGATTACATGTCAGGACTGAAATTCCTTTATCACAAACTAAGTCTTCTTCGTATTCTTTCTGAAAAATACAAGTGTGATACTCTCAACACTTATTTACCTGATTATTTTCATTAATTCTTACCTGAGAACATTTTCATTGCATTTTTGGAGAGAGAAAGATAGGTAGAGAGAGAGAGAGAGAGAGAGAAACGTCAGGATTGAACTCACAACCTGGGTATGTGCCCTGACAGGGAATCAAACCCACAAACTTTTGGTCTATGGGATGACACTCCAACCAGCTAAGCCATACTGGCCAGAGCTTTCTTAGTACACTTTTAAATGAGCATCTATTTACCATGCTCCATATATAATTGAACAGAAAGTCCTCGGTAATTTAGATGCCATTTTCAGTTTCCAATTTCAAAAAATCCCTTTTCTGTATTATATTTATTCTTTCCACCAGTCTTAACAGATAAACTCCCCTTGAAGTGCCCCCACATCCAAAAAAAGGAATGTCTTTACTCATTATCTCTGCCTCATTCTATTTGAAAACTGTTTGCCAGCAGTACTCTGGAATGACTAAAATAACTCTAAACTTTTTTCATTGTTTTATAATAAAATCAAAAGTATTATACAGTACTCTTGGAAATTATTCATACTCTGTTCCTTCTTGAAAGATTTATCAAGGCCCTTTATTGCCTAGAAATTCTGTAAGCATGTAGCATACACAACAAGCCACAATTATTTAGACATTACCTTTAGCAACCTGCCATTCTGCTTGAAATTCCATTTGCATTCTCTTGGGATTATGGTTATAATATACTGCTTTATTTATTAAGTGTATTTGTCTAGGGCCTAGACTCTAAGCAGCGAGCAAGTTGCACTTAGTAAGTAAGATTCAAGTTTATTTCTGTGTATTACAAAGTATCAGAATAGCGATTTTGTATTCTGCTTTCATAAGTTGTGAGTCATTTGGAAAAGATGATTAAAGATTTGGAATGACATTTCTTTATGTAAAAGCATGAAATGATAGGACAATATAAAGCAGAGAATGAGAAACAAGGGGGAATTTTCTCATGGTCTTCAAGCATCTTCAATCATCAAATAAGTACTTTAACAAGTGCTGGGCCCTGATTCATTCTGGGGATAAAGTAGCAAACACATAAATTTCAAGTCCTCATGGTGGAACTATATGGAAGAAACAGAAAATAAACAAGTAACCAAATAAAATAATTTTCTCTAATATACTCACTGTTCAGAATGATATCCAACATCTTTTATCTTTGCTGGAGCTCAAATAAGAGAAAATGGGTTTTGAACCATAGGGTAGGAAAGAAATTCCTTTTACAGGGAGAGAACATGGAGGCTTCCCTCAGCGGGACAGGGAGCACAGAGAAATGGTCAACTGCACTGAATCTGCTCTCTGAATGGGCTGCTTTGCCACGTACATTATCCCATTTCCCAATCACAACACTCCTTGTGCGTAAAAGTTTTACGATCCCCATTTTATAGAAAAACTAAGAGGCTGTGTTACTTGCTAATGTTCACACAGCTTGTCACTGCAGAGCTAGCATTGATTCTCTTGGAGTGCACTACCTGAGTTCGGGTGGATGGAATACTGCCATTCTAAATCTTTAAACTTTGTATAGGGTTTTTAGGTAGTTTCTTTTCCTAAAGTAAGAGAAAAGCCTATGTGGTGGCTTTCAAACCTTTTTTTTTCAGGAGGAAAAATCGAATTTTCAAACAAAAGTGCATGTAGAATCGCAATATACGAAACAGCTTAGAGCAGAGCAGCCCTGCTGGAGCTGGGGCGCACTGTCAGAGCCGTGCTCCCTGCTCCCCTCACTCACCCCAGGGAAATCCCCCGCAGTGACCAAGCTCCACTGTGTCTACGGACTTGCTCTTTGTCTAGTGAATGTTACCATAATGTCAGGCTAAAACAAGATTAGACTCAGTTACATGGAATCTTATCACATTTAATTTCATCATGGTAAAAAAAATCTCAGCTACTGTAACTGTTTGGGAAGATCTGGTTGACCATCAAATACGACAATAGGGCATATTGGGGCAGAGTGGTCTGAGACATGAGTTCAGTAAGGGAGTTAGTGGGAGCCGAGTCCAAGGGACACTTAGAGGCTTACACTCTCGCTTCCTCATATTTATGTAAATAGGTCCAAAGTTTGTAAATCTTAGGCCAGAATGTTATGGACTCCTGGTAATGCTCTTTTACATTATAGCTGTTAATGAACCATATCCTTCCATCTCAACCTCCAGAGAAAATTAAAAGCTTAAATTGAATACTTACTAAAGTTACAAATTTGGAGCCCTTCTGTGGAGTAACAAAGTGAGTAGACAATGCTCAGAGAATGTGACTTCATTTGTTATTCTGGTAGACTCCAAGGCAGAGCTGGAATCCAAAGACAACTTTACACAGTAATGGGAGACGTACTAACATGCAGGGAAGGAGGAGGAAGCTTGATAATTAAGGAAATATTTCTTCTCCCAATATGAGTTTAGGCAGTACTGCCCCCACCCATATTATAGCTGTCCCTAGGAGAAGTGCATGTACTATTCTAACAGGTTCTGTGATTAAACAAGTGGACATACCTGTAACTAACACAGAAGGCAGTACCTTAAAGGAAATCTGACCTGCAGACCCACAAGTACCCTTAGCTATTGATTTGGGCCTGGGGCCCATCCTCACACACCTTCTGCACACATCCGTGGGGACTAGGAATCCGGGGCCATCCCTGACCTTCCTGCTATAGCCCCTGATATGCTTCCATGTCACATCGCTCAATGTGGGAAATGGGTATGGGGTGAGAGCAGGGCTGCCTTATGCATAAGACACAGTAGGCACAACGCCTAAGGCTCACAATACTTTTTGGGGTGCTTGAAAATGTTTTAATTTCTTTTAAAAGCAGAAGATAAAAATTTTACAGAAAATACATAATATTAATATATTCATGTAAAATTTTCTTGAGGTTAGTGAATTATTTTTTTAATTTAAACATAATTAGTACACAATATTATATTAGTTATATTAGTTTCAGATGTACAATATAGTGATTGGAAATTTTTATGCCTTACAATGTTATTACTCCAGTAATTCTAGTAATTATCTGTCACTGTGCAAACTTATCACAATATTATTGACTATAATTCCCTTCGTCTTTTCACCCATCCCCTGCACCCTTCCCTCTGGTAACCATCCCTTTGGTCTCTGTTTCTATGAATGGATAAAGAACATGTGGTATAGATACACAATGGAATTTAGCAGCAATCTTTAGCAGCATTCTTTTTTGAATGAAATCTTGTCATTTGTGACAACATGGATGGACCTAGAAGGTATTATGCTAAGTGAAGGTATTATGTCAGACAAAAATCAAAAACAT